GCAACTATTCTTTTCAGGATATGTATGATTTTATGGCTCTGGATAGACCGTCAACACCATTAATAGATCGTGGGATTGCGTTGCACAAGATGATCAGGCTTGTAACTATGGGATTAGGAGGAGAAGGATACCTAAATTTCATGGGAAATGAATTTGGCCACCCTGGTATAGATTGCTAACATTTTTGTTCCTTGGCCTTAATTCTTTGCTAGGCTGCTTTTGATCGTGTACAATTTTCTTTCCTGGTATTCTTTATTGTACATTAATACATTCACTTATATTTTCCAGAGTGGATTGATTTCCCTAGGGCTGAACAACACCTCCCTGATGGACAAGTGATTCCCGGAAACAATTTCAGTTATGATAAATGCAGACGGAGATTTGATCTGGTTAGCCCTTGCATTATTTCTTATCCAGGTTGTATGCTTTACCGTTCTAGCTTCTTGGTGCATTGATGTGGCGCTGATGCAAATACTCCCTCTGTTCCCAAAGGGAATGATGGGGTTTAGAGTACAAGGGTCAAAATATTTAATTTTCGGCGTGAATTTGGACGTTGATTTCTTAATTATTTTGAATATCAACATATTTACTAATTATATAAACATACTGTAAATCATATTTTCTTACAAATGCATTGTCAAAGAAAACATTCCTTGGTTCCCTATACAGTAACAATGTCATACTAAATGGAACGGAGAGATTAATGTTTTGAGGCTGTCTTTACGCTGAGCAAGGGTGAGTGATCAGATTACTTAATAGAGCTGCTAGCAAAAAACTTTGTGGGATAAAGAGAGTATAACAAAAAGATAATTCGCTTAGATAGATAATAACTCAACATAAATAATGTTGTCTATGCTTATAGTGAATTGACATGTTACATTTATCAATTGAAAGTTGAAAGTCTAGCTTGGTTGCTTTGTGAACTATGATGACCTCTTTTATCTCCTTAAGGGTAAGTCAGGTCTTGTCTACAGTTTACAGAATCATCCTTTTCTGACACGCAAACTGTAGCTTTTATGAGTTCTGTCATTAGTGTAAATATGCATTGACATTTATGTTTCATGTAGAGTAATTTTTCCCCCAAATACTTCATACTCTTGTCTTTTTGCACGGACATAACAAAATTTCGGTAAAAGAGAGAGGATAAGGTTCATTCCATTGTCTAGTTAAGAAGTGAAAGAAACGATAAAAAAAAGTGGGATCACACACACGATTCCCATCAGCTTTTTCTATTTTGGTTAAAGAGAAGTATAAGGACCAATATACTTCTAACTTTTTCTTGGCGTTATTCCAAGTTCCTTTTTAGCTTTTTTCAGTCTTAATTTGTGAGTGCTTATCCTTGCTGGATATTCAGGGAGATGCAGATTATTTAAGATACCATGGGTTGCAAGAATTTGACCAGGCTATGCAGCATCTTGAAGAGAGATATGAGGTATGTGTTTATATTGTGCCGCTTTCTCAGTTTTGTGCTTCTTGATTTCCCATACCAGTAGTTTTTCATTTGTTTGAGGAACTTCATTAAGCTCTTGTAAAACATAGTCTCAGATCTATGTGATAGCATAATCATGTAGTGTCTTTTACTATCTGGCTAAATACAGTTTGCTGAAAATTCTTGTCCATAACCAGTAATCATTTATCATTCTTTGAACAACCAGACGAAGCTGGGATCCAGTCATTTACTTTACTGATTCATGAGAATTAGTTTCTGGTTATGGTAGTCTTACAGATATTCTGATTCATGGAAAAATGCAGTTAAAGTTTCGAACTTGTAGCAAATTTTTGAAAGAGATATAACCAGCAACTTTTTGAAAGAGTTACCCACCCTATTTACCGAAGACTTAACCAGCAATAAATAGTTACTCCCTCCGTCTCAATTTAGATGAGTTAGTTTGACTCGGCACGGAGTTTATGGGGAAAAAAAGACTTGAAAAACTTGTGGTCTTAAAAGCCTAAGGGTAAAAGCTTTGTGGGGCCATGACATTTGTGTGGTTATAAAAACTTCTCATTAAGGGTAAAATGGGTAAAATGAAGAGTTTAAAGTTGAATTATTTCCAATTATAGAAATGTGTCATTCTTTTCGGAACAGACTAATAAGGAAAGTGTGTCATCTAAATTGAAACAGAGGGAGTATTAGGTTTAACAGAGTCCCAATTCGAAGATTATAAAATTCCTAATGCTTAATTGTAGCTTGGATTATTGAGCTAATAGTTCTTTTTGGTGTTTGGTGGTGGAAATTGGTGTGCGAAGATGAAGTAGACAATTCTATGTTTGCTGTCTGTTGGGGCATATTTCAAGTTAACACCTTCAATGTTTGCTCAGCGGTGCTCTAGCCTTCCATCATCTTCCTATCTTGCTCAATTTGTGACTCTCTTGCCTTCCGGCT